TCCTGTATTATATTCAGTAAGTCTTTTTTATTGCTAGTTGGTTGAGTGCTTATGAAAGAATATTGTACCTTGTCAAATGCTTTTATTACAACTACTGAGATGATTGCTTGATTTTTACCTTTTATTAGTGATAAGATGCACTACATTGATTGATTTTTCTTTATGAAACCCACCTTGCATTGCTGGGTTAAATCACACTTGGTCATCATCTATAACCCTTTTTATATACTGTTGGATTGGGTTTGATAGGATTTTGTTGAATACTTTCACATTTATATCCTGAAATAAAATTGTACTACTAATTTCTTATAATGTCTGTGATTTTAGTATCAGGGAAATTTTGGCCTAATGGCATGAAATGGGGAATAATTTATCTGTTTTGTTTTGTTTTTTTTTTTTTGAAAAGCATGTAAAGGATTGGTGTTAATACTTTTAAACTGGTTTGGTAGAATTAGATGGTGAAGCCACCTGGGTGGCTGGGTGGCTCTCTGGAAAGTTTTTGAGTACTAACTCAATCTTCTTAATTATCACAGGTCTTTTCAGATGTTCTCACTATTCTTCAGTTTCAGTAGTTTGGGTCTGTCTACGAAATTTTCTATTTCACCTAGGTTATCATCTAATTAGTTGGCATTCATTTTTTCATGATACCCTATTATTTTATTTTTGTAAAATAATACAAATTCATTTTATTTTTGTACTGTCAGTAGTGATGCCTCCCCTTTCACTTCTGAGGTTAGTATTTTGAGTCTTTTCTTTCATGGCTAATTTACAAAAAAGTTTGACATTTTCTCCAATCTTTTCAAAATATTAACTTTCAGTTTAATTTTTCCTCTTTCCTATTTCCATTTTAATATTTATTATTTTCATCCTACTATTTGCTCTGTGTTTAAATCTTTTCTATATTTTTCTTTTCTGGTTCTTGAAGGTAGAATGTTAGGTATTGATTGAAGGTCGTCTTTTTAAATGTAGATGTTTACAACTATCAATTTTTCTCTCAGCCCTTCTTTTGTTGCATTTTGTATGTGTTTGGAGTATGTTATCTTTTAATTTTCACTGATTTAAAACTGTTTTCTAATTTTCTTGGTGATTTCTTCTTTTACCTACTGTTTTTTTTTTTTAAAGACCAGTACTTCATTCCCATAGAATTGTAAACTTCCAAATTTCTTTCTGTAGTTAATTTCTAATATAATTCTATATATTTTCATTATTTCATTATTTTAATTATTTAAAATGTACTGAGGCTTGCTTTTGCCTATCATGTGATCTATCCTGGGGAATGTACTATGTGCATTTTGTACAACTCTGTAGCCTTTTATTTGTGATGGTATGTTCTATTGATATCTGTTAAGTACAGTGGTTGATCATTTTATTTAAATCTTCATTTATATTTTTGTTGATCTTTTACTTGTTTTTGAATGTATTACTGAAAATGGAGTATTAAAGTTTTCAACTATAATTGTTGAATAGTCTGTTTAATGTCCCAGTTTTATTAATGTTTCCTCAGCGTATTTTGAGTTTCAGTTGGTAAGTGCATCTATGTTTATAACTTTGGTATCTTTCTGATGGATTAATTCTTTCAATATTATAAAATACCCCTCTTTGTCTGTAGAAATACTTTTTGTTAGGGTTAAATTTATTTTATCTAATTTTAGTATAGCCACTTCCACTCTTTTTTGGTTACTGTCGCATGGTACATCTTTTCGTTATATTTTTAACCTATTTGTATATTTGAATATGAATTATGTCTCTTGCAGACAGCATAAACTTTAATCATTGCCTTTCTAAAAATATTGGTTGGTTTTATTTATTTTGCCAATCTATGCCTTTTGATTATAGTATTTTATTGATTTATATTTAATGTAATTATTGAGAAAATACACTTTACATCTACTATTTTGCTATTGTGTTCCTCTGTTTCTTAAGTAGATATTTTCTAACATACCATTTTAATTTTCATTTCTTTCACTATATATGTATATATATATAGAGAGAGAGAGATAGATATAAAATACTTTCTTAGTGGTTACACTTGGCATTAAAATAGTAACTTAATCAAAACAACCTGTTTGAATTAACGTCAACTTAACTTCTATAGTACAAAAATTTTGCTGCAATGTAGCTCCATTTTCTCTTCTATCCTTTGAATTATATCTTTCCAGTTTTCTATAATATAATTGAATCTTTCCAATTTTATGATCATTTGTTTATTCAGTTGTCTTTTAAGTCAATAAGAGAAGAAAACATTTTCAAAATTATTTTTATACGATCCTTTATGATAACTATGTAGTTACATTCACTGGTGCTTTTTATTTCTTTGTGTGCACTTGAATTTACTGCCTTCCTGATAGTGTCTGTGTGATTTCAACTTGCTGTTCATTTCCTCACCCTAGCCAATTTTTCATCACCTAATGTTATTTATCTCAATTTCTCTTAGAATAGTGTTGCAAATAAAGGGCCTCATAAGATATTGTGATAAAATCTGGGAAGGGGAAGGTCTTTCATAGTCCCTAGAAAATTGAAATACAGCTTAAGATCCTACTAGCTATTACAGCTCACACCTAGTGCTTCCCACATTACCTGACACATAGTAAGTGCTTAATACATATTTATGAAAGGGATTAACGTAAGTGCACATGATGATTAAGGTTTAAGTGTTGAATTATCTGAAGGTTCAGAACCGGCAAGAATGCTAACACAGGGACAAGCAAGCTAAGATTAAGAAGTTCTTGAGCAGTTTTAGAGAAGTCTGCAAAATTCTCTGAATGAGTTCTCTGAGTCACATTGTCAAAAAAGAGAATTTAAGTAATTTATTTTAGCAAAGTGTTAGCCAACTTTTTAAATGAGGCTGAAACTTCTTGAGAAAGTCAGACAAGGACACACAGTTTACTCACTAATAATCTTACACTTGCTAATTCAAAAGTATACACCAGATTTCATGCATCTCTGTAATTTTAAGCAAATAGGATGGGCCTTTCATTTGATGGCTGGCTTGATGTAGCCTATGGCACACATAAGCCTTGTGACTCTGTTTATAGATGCTAACAGTTGGAAATTGAGAGTTGCTCAAGCAGAATTCTATATAATCACCCATTTGGGGTTAATTTGCTTTATTGTGGCTGCTACAGTGAGCTCAGCTGAACTTGGCATTTTCCATTGCAATCTGTTTTGTAAATGATTTTAGTTTCACAGCCCAGGCATTTTGCTGCAAATCTTCTGACTCATGTAGCTTATACTAACCAGGGCAATTCATACAAAGAATGTGGATTATTTCTTAACCTGTGATATGGTTTTTAAAATTTATTTTAGAGTTTGAGAAATTGAGAACCAGATGTTAATAAATTATGGAGAGGTAAATCTTTTTTAGAGTTTGGGAGTCCTATTTATTCAATAAGTATTTTTTGAACCCTTGATGTGAGGTACCATATAAATTTTGGTGATATGATGGTAGCAGGACAGATCTACATACAACCCTGAAGGACTTCTAAAGCTATGCCAATTTGCAAATAAATGAATAAGCAAATATAAGCATCTATTACATATTGTGTACACCAACGTATAAAAATATAAAAATAAGGGATATTAACACTGAATATGCCCTGTCAAAATCTAATCTCAATCAATGTGCCCTTATACCCACATGCTCAATAAATGCTTTTCCCCTTTATTACATTTTTAAAATTCCAGTTTTTTTCTGAGAAGTTTTTTTTTTTTTTTTTGACTGGGGCTGGGTTTGAACCTACCGCCTCCAGTGTATGGGGCTGGTACCCTTCTCCTTTGAGCCATGGGTGCCGCCCTTTTTGGAGAAATTTTATGTGAGTAATTGGAAATGGATACTTTATGTTTCATTTATCTAAACTTCCCAGCACTATCTTGTATTCTTTGACTTTTTCTTATCAAGTTTTTCCGAGTGTCTGATGTGTTCTGAGCATATGCTAATTGGAGGGATACAAAGATAAATACAAGAGTGCACTGTCCTTACCTTAGAGGAGCAGAAGAGACAGACAAAGGAGTCACTGCAATGTGATTGAAGAGACGCATTTATACAACCACAGCTGCATGCAACCAATTCAGCACATAGCTGTGGCTTGGCTTCCCATGAGCATGAGAAGTTCAACGTACAAGAAGAATATTTAGAGAAAGAGAGAAGTACATCACTAAGAATTGTGGCATTTTAAAGATAGAATTTACAAAATGAAGGAGACTGAGCCATATCCTTTGTCCGTATCTTTGTAAGCCATTATAAGTGTGTTACTGATTTCCTTCAAATCATTAAGATGCAACTTAACATGGCACTTGTCCTGGATTAGATACCCCTTCACTCTGATTCCCTGCACCTATATGTATTTTCACTCTGCATGTAAGTACTCTGTCCTATAAACTGAGAAATTCCTCAAAGGCAAAACTAGACCTCTTAGTGTTTGTGAGACATGAATGCAAAAATTATGTGATTAATATTTGAGGAATGAATCACTGCGTGAGTGAATACAAACCTTCACTGATGTAGCAGAATTATCCAGCAAGCTGCAGTAACCTCAAGTCAGTGTGATAAACACTTCTTAAAATTCTACATTTTGCTTGATTCTTCTATTCCTCCAAAAACAGAGATCTATGAAGTTGGAGATTTAATCCATATGTGAAAATGTATCGAAAGTATAACCTTCCAGACTTACAGTCTCAGAAAACCGTAAAGAAATTTTTACTTGCCGTTTGTCATAAAAAGCAGAATTAATTTTACGACTAGACCAAAACAAATCAAGTCAATTGATCACAGAGGTTTAAATTTTGGTTTAAATTTTAAGGTCCTTAAGCCACGTAATAAGATGTTTTCCCTGTATATCACTCTAGAAAAATGCCTAGACATGTAACCCTGGCTAGAACCTCATTATTTTAGAATGCACAATAATTTGCTGAGCCAAATTATGTTGGATCAGAACATTTCAAATTTTTGTTTTTAAGCAATCCTAAAGAAAACAGAAGAAAATTATTTAGAAATTACATACCTGTCGACACCACAGTTTACGAAATATTTGCAGATAAGCCAATACCATAAGACATAGCGGTGCCATGTATGTCACCAGAAAGAAACAGATGTGGTACATCTTGGGGTAAATTTCACCTGAGAAATCAAAATAATACAGTTTTGCATTACTACTAATAGATTTTTTTTTAGAAGATACATATGTTCATGTTTTTCTATACAAATTTACTTTCTATATACTTTACGGTGCATTATATATACAGTAGGGAAATTATATTTACCCCTACTTACCTTTACTCATATATATGTGTATACATATACCGAAAGTGAAGTCTTAATTTCACTTATTGTACATAGAAAGAAATAACAATTAACTATTTCTTAATTTGAGATACTATAGTCTATCCAAAGTAACCATTCATTTTTTTCAAAGCTCTTTAATTTGGCTTGATTATATCAGGCAAATTAATACAATTAATATGGCTTGTCCTATACTAACATATGAAAGGGGACATGACTCACTCAAAACAAAATGGCTAATGCTTTGGTTAAAATGGGAACAGACTGTAAACTTGATTGATTCCTCATTAGAATGTAAGTACCCTGAGAAATGGGAAGCTATTCCCAATTGTAGTTCCAAATACTATGTGGAAAAAACTTAATTAGGAGAAGTAAATACAATAAAGGTTTGTGTGTTGTTGACTTCCTAGAATATACACAAAATTCCTTCTTAAGCCTGGTATGGCAATGTATACATACGTATGTGTGTATGCATGTGCTTATAATAAAAGTAAGAATTTTAAGGCTTTTAAATTTTCAGTCCAATCTGGGTATTTACTTTTCACTAATTCATCTCCTTTATTAGTCATAAATACCTCTACAACTGTAGTGATTTTTTATTTATCATTAATTCTATGTATACAGATGATTCATGTTAGACTTTTATTACCCAGTCAATTAAGCAATTGATTACCCAATCACTTCATTACTTAGTATTACTATTTTAGCTTTTCTATATATCTCATACTGCAATTTTAATAACTTTAAACTGACTTTTAAAATGCTTTAGGAGATGTTTTCTTCACACTACTATTTGCATATATCACAGTGGTCCATCTATTTTTCTTGCAATGTAAAACAGGAAACAAAATGTCCTACGGAGACTCCATGGATATTGAATCTAATAACTCAATGTAATTTGAATTGAATGCTAATGCAATGAAGTTTTCAGTTTTTTTCTTTAAAAATCACATACTTTGACTACAACGTTGGCAAGGGGGTTCCATGCCATTAGTGAGGGATAACGAACAGAACGGGCTTTATTCTTTCACTCCTTCAGAAAGGACACACAGTGGTAGCACGGAGGCTTGGTTAGGTGATGTAATTTGCGATAAGGGGAACTTACAGTCAAGATTAATCAATAATAGGTTTGACGATGGCCATAATGATATATAACATTTATTCAGCAATTCACCACTTAATTCCTACTTTATAGATTCTAAACACATTTATGAGTTATTCCTTCACAATCTCCCTTCCATAGTGTTCTCTTCTAGAATCAGTTGTGTTTGAGTTACTATTCTTCATATTCTTCCTTATAAAGCTCTGTGTTCTTTCTCGGGTTAGACATTTTTCTCTACTGTGATCTTCAGAGTGGACGACGGGGTGCATTTGTTTCCAGGGGGGCTAAGAGACCAATCTGAGGTATCATTTTTAGCTTCTCTCTGGCCCAGGGGGCATGCACCTATCTCACCAGTTTCTAACTTCCTTTCAAGTTCATCCTGTAAAACAGGCCAGTTACACAGAAAGAGATAGAATTCAAGTATCCTGACTAGGGGAATAACAAATGGCCCTTCCCTTTGAAGTGCTACAGGCAGAGCAGCATTTGGTGGGCCAATTTCAAAGGAATCTGAAGGTGACCTCAGCACTTTCCAGGCACCTTAGTGGCTTTGAACTTTTATTTGTATTGAAGAAAGTGTCACATGAGCTTTGCACATAAAAAAATATGTACCTTTGAAGCTGGCATACCTATGAAGCCCTGAGGTCTGCATCACACTAAGGGAAGAGAGTGGAGGAAGGAAGGTTAATTTTTTTTTCTGGACTATAGTTATGGGCGCCATCCCTGTAGTTTTGAACAGATGGGAGCCAAAGCTCATTATGTGGTTGGCGTATTTATAAATAGTTGAAAAAATATGTAATTGCTTGGTAAATGCATTTTATGATAATGAACACTGACACTGAGAAAAGTTGATCAAGCAAAATTACACTTTCCGGCCAGGATAGATTGTTTTCATAAGGAGATTATAATAGATAATTGGGGAAACATGATGTTTTTAAATTCATCATTTCATATTTACAGTCTAAGCTAATTGAAAACTCAGATATGCCACTGAAATTTTAAACTGTATGTGGTGAAAATATCTTAGAGTCTCGGCACTTGGTAAGTAGTGTCTTCAATGTATTTTAAGATGTTCATATATCACTTAAAATGTAGATACATGAAATGTGTTTCAATTAAGTAGTGCCTTAATTAGAAAACAGATTGTAAATATTGACAACCATTAAAAATCCGTTTCTAATCTGCAGGTGAATAGATCTAAACAAATTTTTATATGCAATCTAAACAAATTCTTATGTGCATAACAAACTTATGAATAATGAAAAAAAGTAGACTTTTAGTCTTTGAATTCAGATATTAAAGAGTATAACATTCACATCATACGTTATACATTTGATATGAATTGTCATACATTATAAAGGCAAAACATAATTTCCCTCAGATAAGTTAAAGTCCATTGTTCAGCCAGCAGGTTAACCTAATTATTTAAAAACTACAAATATTTCTGGGGCAGCACCTGTGGCTCAAAGGAATAGGGCACCAGCCCCATATGCTGGAGGTGGTGGGTTCAAACCCAGCCCCGGACAAAAACTGCAAAAGAAAAAAATATTTCTTTTCCATGCCACACATACCAGGGATTGAAGGGGTGAGTAAATGACATATAATTTCCCAACATTTAATTTGGACTATCTTTTTAAAGATTATAGCTCTATTAAATTTACCTAAATTTTTAATATGTTTTATTATCTTCTCTGTAACAAATGTCTTTAAGAAATGTTCCAATTAATATATATATACACACATTTGTATACTTTTAAAACTCCATAATAGGTCTGACACCATAATTATTTTGACCACAGAGAAAGGCATCATTATTATATTTTTTTCAAGGTGCCAAAAAACATATTTGTCAGATTCAGAAAAAGATATATTACTGCCAGGTGTGGTGGCTCGCACCTGTAGTCCTGGCACTCTGGGAAGCCAAGGCAGGAGGATCACTCGGCCCCAGGAGGTTGAGGTTGCTGTGAGCTAGGCTGACACCACAGCATTCTAACCTGGATGACAGAGTTGAGACTATGTTTAAAAAAAAGAATTACCAATCTCCAATATTTCACCAAGGGTACACACTCATTAAACATTGGATGCATCGGGGTGGCACCTGTGGTTCAAGGAGCTGGGCGCCGGCCCCACATGCCCCCACATACTGGAGGTGGTGGGTTCAAGCCCAGCTCGGGCAAAAAAAAAAAACATTGGATGCATCAATGGCAATGCAATTATATCTTTGACTGAGTGTATAATAAGAGTTACTTCTCTTTCATAGAATCTATCCTTACTTGTGGAACTATGCATTTAGAAATCAAGCAATGAGACATACATATATAGTTCTGGCACAACTTAAAAATTTTAGAGGTTTGAAATGATGTGACTGAAACAGTGAACAAATACAAATGAATATTTTAATGATCATTAAAATTATATGTTGCTGAGTGTTAACTGTGTCTGCCAGAATTTCTGGTGAGTGGCTTTTTATTTGAAGAAGCCATAGGCATGAATATGATTAGTTTTAGAAATCAATTAGTCATAAATGATTACTTATTTGGGGCAACATTTTTAGCAAGACAGAGTTCTCGATTATTTTGCATATATGTGAAATAGCATTTATACAACTTTCCTAAAAGTGATTTGATAGCTATGACTCAACTGGCCATATTGCTGTCATAATTTTTTTCCCCATTGTAATGGTTGTAGGACAATCACTGCCTATTTTTATAACTACCTTATTGATTTAATGTAGAGTAAAGGTAAACAGAGATCATGGAATACTGTCAAAAAGAATGTATTTTGCTGTTTTTAAAATTGTACTAAATAGTAGTAAGCCTTTAAACAGGTTAAATTTTAGAGAGTTAACACTATAAAATATACCTCCTTGGGTGGTTTTAACTTTTGACTATCACACATCTGCCATTTTGAGTTATCAACATTTTAAGTTGAACATGGAATTACAAACATCCTACATGTTCAGAGTCATGCTCTTTAAAAATTATAATTAGTATTATAATTAGTGTCTAAGAGGCAAAATAAGATCCTGCTTTGAATTATTTTGTGTTCTCCTTAAAAATATTGAGTGACTAGCAATTTTAACTAAATTTTTGAACAGCGGATTTTATAGCTTTTATTGAGTTTGATTTTTTAAATGATTAAGTCAATTCAGTATCACTTAATTTTAGCTTTTATAAGCATTTTAAGTAATTATAGACTACTACAAAATCACTTTCCAATAGTTTCTTAAATGAGTAATGATAGCTAGGTTTAAATTTTTAGGTATTCAACAATAGTTGTCTTTTTGAAAAAAAAATGTCAATGGCAGAGTTAGATAATAAAACACTAGAGATAATAATGAGTTTCATATATGAATATTTATATTTATTACTAAAAGGTAATATGAAAATCATGTGTCTTTTTCCTTAATCATGACAACTGCTTATGCCTGTTAACAAAGGTTGATGCTAGATGATTATTCAGGACAACATAAAAGTTGAAGGAAGCAGACCATCAACATTCAAATGAAACAATTGCCAGAGAAAATACTGACACCTATTGAATCCCAGATGACAGATAGTAACAGTTTCCTAATTTTTCTAATTACTACTTCTATAAACTCAAAGAATCTCCACTTTTGAATGGGAAATTTTAGATTTAAATGTATTTATTTGCTTACAAATAAATAACTTAATCTCTCTAGGGTTCAATTGAATCATGAAGTAATTAAAGGATTTTGACCAAGAGATTTTTAGGCTGTTTTCTAAATATAATTCACTTTAAAAGAATTGTGTAAGAGAAGCATTGTCATTAGGCCCCAACCCACCTTGTTTCCAAACTCAGTTCTTTAGACTCTCTTCTGTGTTTCAGAAACTGTAAGTTCTGACTCGCTTCCCTTCTCCTTCAAATTATGAGGTTTTTTCCTTTCTGGAATACCCTTTTCCCCCTTCCCTGTGTGAAGAATTCCTACTTATCTTTATCTTTAATGCTTTGCTGAAACATTAGCAGATATCCTGTAAACTTTTGTTCAGATGACCAGAACTATTTGTGTTGCTAGCACTTTGTACATGAGAGCAGTCCAGAAAGTATCCGGCCATGTATGTTTCTCTTTTGTATATTACATAGTTGGCTATTTTCTAGACAGCCCTCATAAGTATATTAAAATGCTGATCACACTATGAACCTTTGTTTATTAGCCTCTCCAACTTATGGCGCATGAGTTCCCTTAGGCAGAGTCTGGTTCTCTCCAGGTTGGCACAATGCCTTGCAAACCCTAAGTACTCAAGATGATTCCTGAGCATTAAATAAATGGGACTCAAGACACTTCAGGAACGGTCCTACCATTTTGGAACTTTCCATTTATGTTGGTTTTGTCTACACTACCAGTGGGGGAAATTTGGGAAAAAAATGAAGATGATCCAGAGAAAGGATTGCGGGTTTGAAAATGCTAGTAAATATCCATAAAGGAGAGACATTTAATATTGGGGGCAATAAAGAGAACTGTGAAATTTTAGTGATTATAGGGTTTATGACCAAGGTAGACATTACTGTGTAGATAAAGATTCCAGCATTTAAGAATGCCATATTCATAAACTATCTCTGGGGTGCACTTTTTTGATATATCTATCTAATAAGCAGAAGTATATACCTTTCTAATTAATAAATGCTTTCCTAATGTTTAATTCCTTAAATACAAGGTGTTGTGATATACTTATCCAGAAGAGGTTATATTCTTCTTTTCCGATTTCATGTGACACATTTTAGAACTAGTGTATTCTATGTAAATGTGGGATTATTTTATTTCTTGTCATTTTTTTCTGTATCCAGATTCGTGTGAGCACCAGGCCTTGCTAAAAGTATTCAGACCAAAACCTCAAAAACTGAGTCTGACAGTTGGTAACCAAAGGAGCATAAGGCCTCCACATACTATTTACTTAAATTTCTCTATTATATGGGTCAGATGGGAAACCAGAAATGATTCATAATCAATATAATTCTACAGTCAGAGAATAACGATCTCAGTGATAAAAACCATCAATTGTATATGTTGTGAATAGAGAAAGCAAATTTGGATAATTTGACTCAGAGAATGGAGTAGGTCCACATGCTGTGCCTCACTCATGTTCTCAAAACATGTCTTTAAAATGAAAAAAATCTAGTTGTATTTGAAGCTCATTAGGGATACTTTAGACAATGTAATTTTGAACCATCTTAGAAAATGCTAATAATTCCATAGTGCATCCTTGGATTTGAATTACGTGGTGCGTTCTCTTTGAGAGAATTTGAGAAAAACTAACATAACCAGATCTGAATGGTGGAGCAAGCGCCTCCTTTCATTTTCTATCTGAAAGATATGAAAACTGGAACATAGCACATACAGCATCTCCAAAGGACTCAGGTAGGTAGAGTTATGCCATGAAACTGTTTTGGGTTTCAACCCGGTTTTCACGCTTTGGCAAAACCACATGAACACATTCTAATGGACCATAGAGACCCAGATTTACAAGGCTATCCTAATCCCATTTTCAGTGTCAGGTTAAATGGATTTTATAAATGCCAGTTTATAGAGAACAACATACTCACCACCCCAACGCTCATCACACACTGTGAAGAGGGTGGTTTTATTGGCGAGGCCGGGTAGCATGGTGCTGCACTCCATGACAATGGCTTGAGGAATCATTATGATGCAGGAGACGATCCAGATGATGACGATACTGTTCCGGGCCCGCTTGGCTGTGCTCTTAAACATCAAAGGGTGACAGATTGCATACCACCGATCCAAGGCAATGCAGCTCAGTGTGAGGACGGACACAGACACTGATACAGTCTGAAGGAGAAAGAGAACGTAGGGATAGAGAAGCACGTGTTGTTAAAAGAACCACAATATATTTACCATGTGAAAAAGACAGTCTCAATGGATAGACAAATTCAAAATTGCAAGGAAAAAAAAAGACCCATGCAAGTGTTTTCTATTTCAAAAAAGATATGTCAGAAAGAAAAAATGCATTTAAGAGATGATTATTTCCTGTTAAACATGAAAAGGATGTAATGAAATCTTTGCAATCTTTTTTATGCTAAATGTTTCAGTTTACTATCTGGCATTTTTTGAAGAATTACTACCATTCTTTTGTTTTGCAACTTTTCCATTGATAGGAAAATCATATCCTCAAATGGAAAGAAAAAACACAGATGTGTAGTCTGAATTGGAAAACTCTCAATAATCGAGAATAATATGGCATGCCTTTCTTTTAAATGATAAGATAAAAGTTTTATTAAAATTTTGGTTAAGCATGCTTGAATTGGGGGTAGCTCATTTCACATTTTCAGGTAATAATGGCTATTGGCCCACCAGTGCATTTTTAACATGTTACACCCCAGTAAAAGTATGAATACTTTAAAAGAGAATTTTGTATATGAATCACCTTAGTATAGTTTGCTAAGGCAATAGGCAACTTACACCAGGTAGATTAACCCACTCCAAATTTCTGTATAACTAACACCACCACCAAGGGTGTTTTGACTTGGCGCTTGAAGGCAGTCGTAAAGAAGTGTGTGTAGCCCGCTGTACCCACATGAAGAGTTAATGTCATTGCATTTCATTTCCTCTCTTCTATGGGATGAAACACGAAATCTGACATCACTTTTAAAAGTACCTCCCCCAAGGGAGAGTAGTTCTTGTTTCTCTTACTTTTTAATTACAGATTCCTAATCTTTTCTTTTTTTCTCAGCACTGTCACATGGCAAATCATTCTGCTTACTTCACTTACTTATTGTCTGTTTTCCCTGTTGGAACATAGCTCTGTGTTGGCAAGAACTGCTTCTGTTACCCGTGTTCATCATGTCTGGCACAGAATTTGATGTCCATTATGCACTTAATAAATCTGTTTTGAATCCACAAATAGTAAGCTTTAATCTAAGGAAACAGATGTAGTTCAGTCATCTTCCTCTATTTTTCTTTTCTGGTTATACTGATTTTATAATTCGTGGTAAGGGGAGGTATCCCTGACTTTTACATCAGGACCTTCCTTGTTGATGCCTTCATTAACTATGGGTACAAATGAATAAAGGGGGCAGAAGAGCCAGTGTAGTGTAGAAAAAGGGCTTTATGCTAAATTTCGGGATGATTTATCTATTCTCACACTCCTACCTGCTTGATGCACAATGTTGGGTCACTCACTTTATCTCAGAGGGCTGAGTGTGTGTGTGTATGTGTGTGTATGAGTGTGTGTTGTTGACAAATGAAGGGAATTAGCAGAATAAGATTCTTACCAACTCTGAGTCTTTGACTTTCTCTAGGAGAGGGAAGAGAGTATAGTTAGTGTCAATTCTACAGTGGGTGTGAATCCCGTCTCACCTGCTGAGTGATCTTGGGAGGTTACCTCTCTATTTTTCAGTTTTCTCATCTGTAAAATATGAACAACTAATAGCACCCAACCATGGGATTGCAGGGAGAGTTAATTGAGGTGAAAATGTCTACACCAAGGCTGGTATAAAAGAGCTATGTGTTTGTTATTACTTATCATTGATTATAATGATGATGATGATGATGGTTATATTTATTTTTCTTAAGAGATAGGGTCTCTATCTGTTGCTATACTGGACTGAAGTGGCACAATCACATCTCACTGCATCCTCAAGCTCCTGGGCTCAAAGATCCTCCCACCTCAGCTTCCTGCGTAACTGGGACAATAAGGCACAAGTTAGCTGATTTTTAAATTTTTTTGTAGAGATACAGTCTTGCTATGTGGCCCAGATTGGTTTTAAGTTCCTAGCCTCAAGCAATTCTTCGGCCTTAGCATCCTAAAGTGTTGGGATTATAAGCATGAGTCACCAGGCACAGCTGAAGATTATGCTATTAGTTTTCTCTTCCACAACTGAGTCTAGAGTTCTAGGTTGTCTTTTTTTTTAATTATTATTATTGTTGTTGTTAGGAATTTATTGAGGGTACAAAGAACCAGATTACATTAATTGCATGTTTAGGTAAAGACCCTCTTATACTTGTGTCCCACCCCCAAAAGGTGTACCACACCCAGTGACCCCCTATCTCCCTTCCTCCTACCCCCCAATGCCCACCATGCACTAGGTCATTAATTGTCCTCATATCAGGATTGAGTATACAGATTCTTGCTTCTCCATTCTTGTGATGCTTTACTAAGAATAATGTGTTCCACTTCCATCCAGGTTAATAGAAAAGATGTAAAGTCTTCATCTTTTGTAGTGGCTAAATAGTATCCCCATGGTGTACATATACTACAGCTGTTAATCCATTCCTGGGTTAGTGGGCATTTAAGCTGTTTCCACGTTTTGCAGATTATAAATTGAGCTGCAATAAACAGTCTAGTGCAAGTGTCCTTGTGGTAAAAGGATTTTTTTTTCTTCTGGGTAGATGCCCAATAACGGGATTGCAGGATCAAATGAAAGGTCTAGCTTGAGTTCTTTGAGAGTTCTTTATACTTCCTTCCAAAAAGGTTGTATTAGTTTGCAGTCCCACCAGCAGTGTAAAAGTGTTCCCTTCTCTCCACATCCACACCAGCATCTGCAGTTTTGAGACTTTGTGATGTGGGCCATTCTTGCTGGGGTTAGATGATATCTCAGGGTGATTTGGATTTTTATTTATTGAATAATTAGGGATGATGAGCAGTTTTTCATGTTTGTTAGCCATTCGTCTGTCTTCTTTAGAAAAGATTCAATTCATCTCTCTTGCCCAGGGATATAAGGGATTGTTGGCTCTTTTTATGCTGATTAATTTGAGTTCTCTATAGAACCCAGTTATCAAGCTTTGGTCTGATTCAAAATATGCAAATAACCTTTCCCAATGTATAAGTTATCTATTTGCTTTGGTTGTTGTCTCCTTAGCTGTAGAAGCTTTTCAGTTTAATTAAGTCCCATTAGTTTATGTTTGTTATTGTTGTAATTGCCACAGAAGTCTTTCTCATAGAGTCCTTTCCCAGGTTAATATCTTGCAGTGTTTTCCCCACACTTTCTTTGAGGTTTTTTATTCTTTCATGCCTTATATTTAGGTACCTTATCAACCTTGAATCACTTTTTGTGAGTGGAGAAAGGTGAGGGTCAAGTTTTAGTCTTTTACATGTGGTTATTCAGTTCTCCCAGCACCATTTATTGAATAGGGATTCTTTCTGCCAGTGTATGTTCTAGATTTTAATTTGAACAGACTATTTTCTCAGAGAAGAATAATCAGAGAAATTACAAGTAAAACTTAAGCTTTGCTAAATTTTTGGAGGCTAATTTCATTTTAAGTGTTGTCTTAAAGGCCTTAATTCTATCACAGTGCACTTAGAACTGTTGGTGATTCCTGGAAATTCCTTGCTGCTATGTAGGAATGCCCTCAATTCTGTTTGTTAACCAATTTCATTACCCCACCTCCTTCCCTTCTCTGTAAACAATATAAACACCTAGGGCACCTCACCTATTGCTATCCTGGGAATAGAACTATGGTAGTCTAGATTTTCATAGTTGACTTGCCAGAGTTACTGGGCCAGGCCTATGTTTATCCTCTCTAGCAATTAGAAGCCCACAATGTTCATCAAGGCTCACTCACGAATTATGATCAACCTGGATGAATGGGATAAGAGAAGCATGGTTCAAACTTGCATGCCATTTCAAGTCTTTCCCAGTATTATTAGATAAGAGTAATCAATTCCTAAAAATTCATTTGAAAGACTAATTCAGTATGTAGCGACCTTTCTGTTACAAAGCAAAGTGAAAGATTATGCTGGTTTGATTAATCTAACAGTAGCATGAACTGATCCACTTAATGGACCCTTGACAATGGGTGATTTAATATTCTCTGTTTCAACTACATTTGCTTGAGTACAAGACCATTAATGTACAATTAACATGCTATTTACAAGATTTTCTTTGGAGGGATATAAAATTGCCTCTTATGAAAAGTAATTATATATAAGAATTTTGTTACTGCTTTTCACTTCCAGGAGTGCACTTCTAGATTCTGATAGTAGCTCATACCAGTTTGATAGTAAGTCACTTGAGAAATTAATCTAGTGTGAATCATGAATTGTAAATGAAATAGAGTGAGGTGATGAGAGTTTCTTCTACCTTCGGGAACTTGACCTTTACCATATACCTTGGGACCCTATTATACACCAGTGTCATTTTGGGGAATTTCCCTTGGTAAAGAAAGACCCTATTTTATACTGTTATATATATATATATATATATATATATATATGCTAGAAAAGATAAAAGCCACCAGATCTCAGGTGGCTTTTGTTCTTTTCTTGGCATTTCTTTTGCTGGGCTTCTACAATTGTTAAACAAAAAACTCACTCTTTAAAGAAGCTATTTCTCCTTTCATTATGGGAAGAGACATGGAATACATGATAATTCTAATAAATGTTACTGGTCTTGTATAGGCAAAACTATATGCCTATATGCCTCTGGCCAAAAAAGCTGTTTGAAAGAGAGAAGTGAAAAGACTTTGTGCAGGCATACTTATAAGAAACTGAGGCAGAATCCCATATGGCCAGGTTGGTTGTGAGCCTAACATGAGCAAGGCTTCAGCTGGAATAGCATTTACCGTGTTAAGGAATTAAGGTTGACTTTATAAGGCCAAAAAAAAAAAAAAGCCATCAGTAACCTTTCCTGATCTGTGGTAAGTAATGAAGGTTGCTTGCTGATGGGTCTGGGAATGGAAATGTGCTCAGGGACCTCAAGAGAAGAGGAATTTACCCAATGCATACAGGTATCTAATAGCACAGATGAAACTTGGGCTTGTGAAAGGCTTTTGAGAAGTCCAGCCTGAAAATTCCTTATAAAAGTTTCCAGCAAAACCCCCCTGACTTAAGGCCTACATGAGAGCAGAGGTTTGCACACAAATTCCTGTATGCCCAAGAAGTTTCTTTATGCCTGTTTAAAGATCCAAAGTAACAGCCTCCAAAGGGCAAGGCCAGCAAGGGCAGGTATTCAATCCACCTTGTTCCTCCATAGCCTCAGGCATCATCAGATAAGAACAAAGAAGCAATGGCTAACAACATGTTCTCCATTCCCTATATAAACCAACTGCAAATAAAGAAGCTCACCATTTTTCCTGAGCAAGCAGATGGTCACCTTTATTTAAAACACAGTTTCAATAAGCGTGCTTATTCTCCGTGACATCGCTTTTCTGCAAGACCCTTACAGCAACAGTCTTGAGATTAGACAATTGTTAAAGATACAACAGGGTCATTTTAATTATTCACCTAAGCTTTATTACATTTGTGAGATTTATGAGATTTTTTGAGCATCTGCCAAAGTCTTACAGTCTGTCATTTGTAAATCTACAGGTTGCACTATATTTAGAAAAAAAAATATATATAAATCATAGCAAATAATAAATGCCCAAAGAATCTTAAATGCAAGAAAATAACCTTAAAATGTAGTTGGGCATTATGTAATATGTTTTTACATATTCAGTAAGACATAAATACCAGATGAAGAATAAAAGTCCTTAGTTTCATGATATCACAAAAAGGGGGCAAAACTACTTAAATTTAAGTGATGGGTGTATTGTCCATTGGCACTGTTTGTTGTATTAGGGAAAATTTCCATGAAAATGAGGCAATACATATTGAGAATTTGGGGTACTAGTTTTACCAGTGCAACAATGTCTTTGTGCTTTTACACCTGTTTAGCAAGAAGCAATGTTGAATGAGGTAATGAGTAGATCTGGTCTTTTCCATCTTGTGGTTACTCAATTGTTTTCTGCTTGCCCTATAGAAAAAAAGATCACCTGAAGTGTTGATCAGGCTGGCCACTGTTTACAGAGAAGCAAACAGAATTTGTCATGAGATGACGATATTACTTGAGCAACAGGACTTGTTAGTAAACTGTCTGTGTGGAAGAACACTGTCGGCGACTTTAAGAGAAACACAGGACCTGTATCACTCACTGATTAGATGCTGCTTCTAGTCTCTCCTGGAGTGCTCACAGGTGACGTTGGAATGCCCATTGTACAGAAGCTATTTTGTGCATCAGAACCCACCTGCCACAGGGTGTTCCACCACTCTCATTACCCCACTCTCCACCTGGGAATCTTCTGGTTCATGGAGACAGCATGAAATATTCTCAGCCAGCTGAAGAATCTTGGCAACTATAACTTCCAGAAACTTAAGAGAATCCTCAAATTATTCTCCTGGGTAATTATTAAAGCCAAAGAAAAAGAAAAATTGCTGGAATCACCACAGAGATGACAAAATATTTGAAATCTCTGCTATTTATTACTTTCTCACTTCCTCTGTGCAAACACCAACAGAGCTATCCATTTCTCACTGATTTTTATATGAATAGGGTATTTTCTTCTGAATATTATTTCTTTCAAAAAATTTTGCTACAGTTCATTTTTGTAATCCATTCAATTTTTTCAGTTATCTGACCAAAACTCATCTTAAAATTAAATATAATGTGTACATGAAGCTCATAACTTCTGTGATATTTTCCAGTTACTACTCTATAAATAATATCTGACCTTAAAAAATAATCACTTCTCTTTAGAAAACTCACAGAAGAACTATTGAGCTAAACATCCCTTTGCAACATTTTAGTTCCAAAATCCTAATCAATAATAGGTTCCTCTTCCACCTTTTCATTACTGTCTGTTCCTCCAAATATTATGATCACCACCTGGGAGGCTGGATGGAGTAAGGATGTGGGTGGAGGAAGACTGCGAAAGAGTAGAGGGTGGCCACCATTTCATTCATTGTCCAACTCCCAAGAACATTTCATCTCTTTAGATAGTGTAGCTGTGGCCATCATGTTGGGAAACATTTTTCTTTGATATTTATGACTATAAGAACCATCAGAAAATTATTCTTTGAAAATATATTTTCCTTCCTTTTTTCTTTTTTTTCCTAGCAAAGGCCACAGCACAAAATTTATTGAGATTATTTACCAAATAATTCATACATATCCAACATCACTGAATGGTAATAATGTTAATTTTAAAGAAAAAGCAAGGCTCAAATTAGGGTCTTTCAAAATACTCAAATACTTCTTAGAGACTATAACTTTAACAAATGGAATGATCCAACTAGTAAAGTCAGATGTATCTCAATCCCCTTCAAAACTCAGTATTGCCAATATGTTTTTCTACTTAAAAGAAAATAAAAAGCAAAGCCTCATAATTTAGCAATTATAATGTTTCTTGGTTTCTGTTTTCAAATGCCAAAGAAAGATATCTGATGAAAGGAAGCAAAGCACCTCCTCTCAGCAGTCTTCTTCAAAACTTTAAGGTTACTTTCAATATCAGTATAAATATTTAGATTCTCATCTGACAGATTTCTTCACTTATGTGAGTAAGAATGCTCTCAAAACCTTAGTCTTTGACTCTTGCTTCATACTAGACCTGTTTGATTAAGCCACTTTTCTAATGGCTGGACCAAAACATTAGATAAGAACTCATTACAGTGTCTTCCAAGAAACCAAGATAATCTCATTACAAATTCTGGTGGCCAATATGTTCCAGTACTTAGTGATACTTTGCTTTCTAGTGGTAAGTATGTGGAAAAATTTAAGTGAATTTCATAACACATAGAAATAGATGATCCTTTATTATTATTATTATTTTTGGCCAGGGCCAGGTTTGAACCTTCCACCTCCGGTATATGGGGCCAGCACCCTACTCCTTGAGCCACAGGCACTGCCCAAATGATTCTATTACAATGTAAAACATCCATTAACTTGTCCTCACTATTCCCTAGGACTTTAAATAGCAAATCTAATTATACAACAACAAAGTTCCTTGCCCCATTTAACCTTGTGTACCAAACAGTGTAAATGCCAAAAATGAGAAACATTTTAAGAAATATCATAATATGAACCTCGGATACCACTTAGGATTAGGGATAGAAGGAAAAGAAAAGAGAAAAAAATTATCAGAGATTTATCAGGAAAAACAGATATAGAAGAATATTCCTATGGGCCTTTAAAAAAATTCTCTTTTAGTGCTTCAACATGATGACAAAAAAATAAAAATTACTGAATAAAGACAGCCAACCATTTATAATATATATTTATTATTTTTCTGACCAAAGTGCAAGGATTTTTAGCTCTTCTTAAACAAATAACTGTGAAAATAATATTCAAAAAAATAAATACAAAGGGGAAATTTAATTGTTAAATTACTTATTTATGCTAAGCTTGTATTTAGTCTAGAAAGCAAAAATATTTGAAGTGTTACTAAATTGCTAACTGAATTGTTTTAGCATAAATCTAACACATGCATTTCAAGGTCCCACTGCTAGGGATTTTGTTAAGATCAATTGAATCATGAATAACACTATCTAACAGAGTATGAGGAACACAGGGCATTACGTGTGATCCTTGCCCCCTCCGCTGGGATTATGTCAGAATGAAGCTGACAATTCTCCCAGGCTCTGAACCCCCAGTGCCCCCAAACCAAACCTTAGAAACAAAGAATATCCCCTGTCATACAACTTTCTACAAAATGCAGTAAATAAACAAAGACTAAGCTTTTTTTTTTTTAACCTTTCCATAGGAAATGGTCAGTTACTTGATAAATATTAAAACACTGCTAAGAATCCATTTTATGAGTTTGTTTACCAAACATATTGTGCAAGAACTGACTACACAAAAGTTCCTCTGAAATTTGGTCTACAAATTCACCTAAGCTTGGAAATTTAAAACTTACAAGAAAAGAGGAAGTGGATATCCCTAACCCTAACATACTGTAATTAATAAATGGATCTAATATGCATATTAAAAGACATTGCTCACAGAAGGCACAAACTATAAAAGGGATATTCTTTTTTAATAAAAACAAAGAGCTAGCTGATATCCTTCTTTGTTTAGTGAGCACCATAACTAGGATGAAGTTAAAGCTGAATTTACTGTCTATTCCTGTGAACAAAGAAAAAGAAGACATATAAAATTAATATCTTGGGTGATGCCTTTGGCTCAAAGGAGTAGGGTGCTGGCCCCATATGCTGGAGGTGGTGGGTTCAAACCCAGCCCCAGCCAAAAACTGCAAAAAAATAAAAATAAAAATAAAATAATGTCTTGCTATAATATACTTTCCAGCCATTAATTGAGATATAGTTATGAAAGATTAAAATTGTCTTAAAAAGGGGTGTGATAGCCACTATCAAAGCCATATTCCAGCATGATTTCAAGGATGCTTTCAGGCTTAGAATTAAATTGCCTTCCTTGCCAAAAATCTTCACAACTCCATTAAAAACTTCATCAGCAGGTTCAGCAGCATCTATTTTCCTGACTTTCCCCATTTTTTCATATAAGTCCATAATTGGTTTTGTTGATTGAAAACAGGTCTGAATTCTCTTTTCCAAGCTCTCTCTGTTGTCACCCTCCTACCACCACTCTGTCCCCTCTCAAGGCGTCCTTCCATACAGATCTCATTATCACAGTCAAAAAACAGGACGAAAGATGCATCTGCCTTCCCATCCATGGTCTTGTTCCAACCTGGAAGGTTGTCTTGACTTCTCGGAAACTTGTCAACCAAGAATTTATTCTTCTGAGCACTGACAGCCATTGTTTTACCCATTCCCCTGTTTAATAAACTGATGGTTTTCTCAACTGGCACAATCTTTCCGTCTTTAACGTACTTTTCAATGAGTCCACCATATTGTGAATCTGGATTCTTCCTTTCATCATGAAGAAGTTCTCCTGGAGGAAGGTGTGTGCAGCCATATTTCTCGAGGATCAGGGCGCAGTGGGTCTCCTTGCCGGCGCCAGGAACGCCAAGCACAAACGCTACCAGCGGCTTCATGAGACGGGAAGGGCAGAGGGAAGCCAAGGCCTAGGATGTGTTGCAGCCGGCGGCGCCCCAGTGGCTAAGCAGCTAAGCAGACACCGCAGTTCTGCAGGACTCTGCGGAGCTGATAGCGGCCGGTGCGGCGTAGGCGTGGGGCCAAAAATATTTTTTCTAAAGCAGCTTTCACTCTTGAGCAATCAAACATTTTATAATGTTGATATTGATTCTGTAACTGGTGTTTGTTACATCATCTACCTGAGGGTAATTACTACATCAAGTGATTTATATAAATTATCTAAGAAAACTGTCACAACAACCTTAGGAGACAAATCTCATTAAAATTACTAATAGATGCCCATATAAGAGGAAAACTTAATTCAAGTTGCGGGAGGGGGCTTGAGGAAGGGGCAGTAGTGGAGGAAGGGAGGGGATTAGGGTGCTCCCCCTTAAGGGAAAAATGTAGGGGTATATGGCACATCTTTGGGGTGCAGGACAGAACTGCAAGAGGGACTCTACCTAACAAGTGCAAATACTGTAACCTCGTTGTTTGTGTCCTCACATTAACCTGAAATTAAAAAAAAAAAAATACTGTCTTATTAAAAAAAGTGAATGCACACAAGGAATTTGTGGGTTTAGGGTATTATCAATGAATTACAGAACAGAAATTGGATACCTGGTAGTTGATTTAGAATCTACACTAAAACCTATTGTCTATACTGCTTCCTTTGATCAAGTAGCTCTTAATTCCTTAGGGAGAAAATTAACTACTTCTGAAAACAGATGCCTTAGATTATTTGAACAGAGGCTCAGTCATTGATTGGTCCGAGTTTCTTATTTAACAGTAAGGAATTTAGAGAGTAGACAGTACAATGTTTGCATAGCATTTAATGATGATTTGGGGCTTTGCCACTTTGTTTTTATCTAGAACTTATATTATTTTCCTTTAGAAATATTTTATTTTTATTTATAATGAACAAATATACATTTCTGAATTTCCAAAGTGATGTTTTACGATATATTAAAATTTATATCAAATTAAAATTTAGAAAACATTTATATCATTATGAGGGTTACTTGGAACAGAAATTGTTTTCATAAAATTGATATGCTGACACAAATCTTAATATAATATGTTGAATATATAAACTCCTAATTATGTTTATTACATGGTTTATGTCTTTAATGCAATTTCAATTTTAAATTGAAATCTCATTTAATACAACCACATTTTATTTATTTGTACTAGAAATTTACATACTGTAATATATATAAATTAACTATGTAATATATATAAATTAACTACTTTTTTTTTAAGTATGACAACTCCTTAGGCAAGTGTATCTATTTTTTAATTCACTAGTTAATTACTGTAGGGCCATGATTGAAAACTTTTTTATGGCACCTTCTGTGTTTGCACATAAAAGATGTGTAAAATAATTACCTGTAAATAAGGAATCACTTTGCAGAGGGACTGTCCAAAAAACCAGGTCTCAGTGATATCCACGACCAATGTGGCAGGGAGGCAGGTGATAGTCACAAGCACATCAGCCAGAGAAAGGTTAACTATGAAATAGTTGGTTACGGTCCTCATGTGATGGTTCTTCCAGACTGCCACACAAACTAATTTGAAAAAAACAAACAAAAAAGAAATAGTAATTAAGCAAAGAAAATAGGTACTATTAAGGAAATACTTTCAAGCTAATTAATACTCCTATGAAATCCACGTATATGTCTTAAAAAAAAAATTTTAAGCCTGTGTGGCATTTTCCTTGAATCAGTCTGTATGACTCCTGTATACATGGTTAAAATCAGTTCATTTACTTTCCAAGACATTTCTCAATAGATCAAAAAATTGTGATGACTTTTACTTGATCTTGAGTTACAAGTCCCAGAAGTTAAAGAATGATCCTTGATTCATCTTTCTATTCCCCTCAAACTCCTCCACTCTCAGTAGGAAGTAGAACCTCTAGAAATAGTTTCTGAGCTGGGACTATTTAGGAGCGAGCAATTTTCTTTGCTGCTGTTGTTTATTTCAGATTAAGATGAAGATACCAATGATTAGGTTACATTGTCAATGAACTGTAGTGTTTACTTCCTCCATGACCTTGACCCAAATCTGCTCCCAGACTCTGCATTTGGAAATTTTCAAAGACATGAGCCAACAATTACTCAGTTCCTACTATTGCCAAATACTGAGCTAGATAGTTCATATACTTACATTGTTTCATCTTTTTTGTTGTCATTGCAGTTTGGCCGGGGCTGGGTTTGAACCTGCCACCCTCCATATAAGGGGCCGGTTCTCTACATACTGAGCCACAGGCACTACCCATGTTGCTTAATCTTAAGGGATGATGTCATTATATTTATACATGAGGTGACATATGGCTCACAAAGTAAAAACCTATAGTTACAACTGGGATCTAGCTCCAAGAAGAGAGTGGTCTTTTCACTACAAAAGTTGCCTTCTTCAGTGGAAATGAGAGTGTTGTAATAAAGTACATAGAAATTCTAATCAGTCAATCCTCTCTTCTTCCTATTACCATAATGGCTTCTAAACAATACCCTCAAATCAAACATTGTTTTCAATATTTTCGCTGCCAGCCTCCATCATTGCCTTGTGGTATATCCCCAGTTTGAAAGCTGTACTATCTCACTCAGTTTCTCCCAGAGGAACGCCCAGTTCCTCTAGTCTCTGTCTGATGTGTACAAAGGTACATTATCTCTGGCTCTGGACTGAATAAAGTACAGACTACCACTCGCATCTGTGGATGAGCTTGCTTTATTCAAAATGACAGAATGTGTCTTGGATACCACATTAACCTGACAGAGCTGTCACCCACTCAAATAATGCAGCGATTACCAACTTACCTAGTGAATAAATAAAAGTACATTTTATTAAATGTATTCACAACTCGCTGAATGAGGATTTCTTTTTGACATATAGGTACCATTTAATATTTTCATATGCTAGAAAAAAGTTCTCATTATTTCTGAAGCTACAATTGACCATAAGCTATCAACAAATGTCAATTTAAAAAAGATCTAGATTTCTGAGGATTTAATTTTGAAAACTTCACATCTTCCTCTAACTTTAGCACATTAAATTTAAGTCTAACACCAAAAATCAGGTAAGCTATCATTAGAGTAAATTACGGTCTTGATTATTTTAATATAATGTTGTTGAATGCTTTATTTCCCATAATCTTAAAACACACATAAACATGTAGTCACACACACACACACACACACACACACACACACTCACCCCTCCTAGCAGGTGACAAACACATTATCACAGTTTATTATGAGAAAATTGGCAAAAATATTGTATTTCTGGTACTAGGTCAACAAATGGTCCTAATGATCAATCCTGAATGTAGGGGGGAACAAAAGCAGAATTTTAAAAAAAAATGCAATTAGCTGTAGTTTGATTTTCAACGCCCCACATTTGGGGTGTGAGGACTGGCGGTGATGGGAATGTTATGTGTTGTAGTTAACCAATACTGGACAAAGTACATGTTCAAAAACACTTCTGTGGTGCTTACCATGTGCCATGCCCTGTTCTGAGCATTTTAAATTACTAACTAATTAAATTGTACTAACACTGTGAAGTGAGTACTATTACAATCTCTGCTTATCAGGTGAGAAAATAGGAGAGGTCAAGTAAGTTCAAGGGAAGGAGAAGCGAGAGTTAAGAGTTGAATGCTCGTAACTGTAAGATCGGTGATAAGGGCAAGGGGAAGGGTTCTGCTCGCCTCAAAAAGAGAGCAGGAGCGTCAGTGCTTGGCACTCTCCATGTCTGTGGTGCAAATAGCCACGGGATCAGTTCTCTAAGTAGCTGCAGGAGAGGTTAGTGGGGATTCGTTCATTCATTCAGTCACAGACTCGCTCACTCAGACTCTTTCTCTCCTCCTGCTCAGAGGGCACCTGCCCGGCACCTTTCTTCAAAGACTACTAAGGTTCACTCTCCTACTAAGGCTTTCTCTTTCTCTCCCTCTGGCTAAGACAAATAGTCCTCAGGCATCTAGGGAATTGATCCCGAGCAAGGTAGCACAGCTATCCACATCCAGGCAGTTTCATAGACCAGGGCGGGTGACTGGTTGTCCCAGACCTCGACAAAGTAATATACCTAAGAAAGAATAATAAGTACTAGACTTAAATTAGTCTACCATGATGGTATCCCATATATATATATTTGACAGAGTCTCATTCTGTCTCCCTGGATAGAGTTCTGTGGTGTCCGCATAGTTCACAGCAACCTCAAACTCCTAGGCTCAAGTGATCCTCTTCTCTCAGCCTCCCAGGTAGCTGGGACTACAAATGCCCACCACAATGTCCTGCTAGTTTTTCTATTTTTAGTAGAGACGAAGTCTCACTTTTGCTGAGGCTGGTCTTGAACCCCTGAGCTCAGGCAACCCACCTGCCCCTGCCTCCCAGAGTGCTAGGATTGCAGGTGTGAGCCACCACCCCAGACCATCATCCTTACATGTTCTTAATTGAGGCAGAAAATGAAGAGGAAGCCACCAACTTCTATTTGATAGAGCTTTAACACAGATCATAGAATCTTTGAGTTGGAGATCACCCAGTGTAATCTGCCATGTGAAGTATGAAAAAATCATCTCTGTAGCATCCTGGAGCCCTCCTGGTTGAACATTCATAACAGTAAGAAGTTCATGACTTGCTGGAGCCCTCAAGTTCATGCTGCCGTGGTTTTATAATAACTACTAGCAAGTTCTTGTTCATGTAAGATTGAAATCACTTCCATTTCAGTTCTCTTTCTAGTTCTTAGTTCATTCCTGGAACTTAAGGAGTAAGCCTACTTTTCTACATTGTTTAGTTTCTTAGAGCTGCTGTAGCAAAGTACCATACACTGGGTATCTTAAACAATAGACATTTATTTTCTCACCGTTCTGGAGTCTAGCAGTCTGAAATCAAGGTGTCAGCAGGATCATATCCCTCTGAAACCTACAGAGAAATCCTTCTTCATTCCCTTCTGGCCCCTTGTGGTTAGCTATTAATCTTTAGCATAATTTCAGTCTCTTCCTTCCTCATCAAAGGCATTCTACTGTGTTGCTATCCTCACGTGGCAGTCTTCTTACAAGATACCAGTCATACTAGGTTAGAGGTCTCCCCTATTGCAGTAGGCTTTCTTGACAATTACATCTTCAATAACTCATTTCCAAATAGGGTCATATTTTGAGGTAATGGTGTTAGTATTTAAATATATCTTTGGGGGGATACAATTCACTCGTAACAGTATGCATTCAAATATTTAGGGACCACAGCTATGGCTTTTACTTCTCCAGTAAGTTAAGGTCTCCAGAACCCTCATGTGCAACTGCAGGATTTTGCATCCCTCATCAGCCTGGTTGCCTTATTCTGAACACACTCCAGATTATCAGTAATGGCTCTGAATGAGCCGTCTATAACTCCACACGCGTCTCCAGGTGCAGTCTACTCAGAGGAGCCAAGAAGAGAATGATTGCTTTGGTTATTATCTCTCTAATAAGGACACTCTGAGATCTTATTACCCTTCTTAACATCCAGCTCACACTTTGGGGGGGGGAGGTCATATCATATGTATATCCAGTTACTAGAAATCAATTCCTTTGTAAAAATGTTAGATTGAATCTTTATCTTTGAGTCCTAGCGCAAAAAGGGGGAGGATTTACAAAGAGCACTATGAGAACAATGAGAATAATTTAAATTTGGACTTTATGTTAGATAATATTACTGTACTATTTCAAAATATCTTAATGTATTATTCACAGTATGTCCATTCAAGTATTTAAAGACTGTGGCTATGCCTATTTCCTAAGGCTTTGGTTCTTTGGGACAAACATCACCAAACCTCCTCAGATACAGCAATAGGATTTTGCCTCTCATCATCCTGTTCGACCTGGATGGTAGGGAGACATTTGTAGGTCCATTGCAGTTAGGCTGTGGTTTGCAGCCTGCCTCCATGAACCATGAGTAATCAAGGAATAAATGACCAGGCAAGGAAGAAAGAAACAACAGAAGGCACAAGTGCTGTCCGTGGGGTTCTACCTTCAACACAGGCTTTTTTGAAGATGTAATTGTCAAGAAAGCCTACTGTTGTTTTCAGTTATTAAAACAAGCAGTTGTTTATAAATGCAGGTTATAATGACAAAGACCTTTTAAATATAACATTTTATTTTCCCATTTTAAAAACAGTTTAATTGCTGTTCCATACAATTAACAGACAAGAGCTCAGGGAGTTTCTAAAGATTCTATTTGTATATTATTTTTTAGATATGTTTTTAGAAGGTGTCTGTCTGCATTGAGCTGCAGAATTTCTCAGTCAGCTCCAGGCTCTCTCCATTTGTCCTGCAGAGAAAACACAGGGGCTATGTATCAGCAGATTCTTACAGAGAAAGAGATGGTCAGCCAAATTCCAGGGCGAACGATAAAGGACAAAGGGATTTTTTACCATCTTGGCACCTCTGCATTTCAGATACTATGTTAACAAAATATTTTCCTATTTCTTGATTGTTTATTTAAGTGATGTATATATTTACATAAATATATAAGATAATGATTTCTTGATATTTGTTATATCACACACATATAAAATAACATTTCAGGAAATAACTTGTTTA